ATCAGCAACAGCCACAGCAGCAGCAGCACCTGCAGCAACAGCAGCAGCACCAATAGCAGCATCCGAATAAACAGCAGAAGCATCTTCAGTAGCAGCAACAGCAGCAGTAGCAGCATCCACATCATCAGCAGCAGCAGTAGCAGCACCTGCATCAGCAGCAGCAGCTTTAGCAGCAGCAGCGACAGTAGCAGCATCCACATCAGCAGCAGCAGCTCCAGCAGCAGCAGCAGCAGCAGCAGCAGGTTACTTTTTCTCTGTTGTAGGGTGTCTTTGGCTCAGTGATGTGCTCGCGAGTGCCCCGCAGCAAATCGTGTTCAGCAATTACTTCTTCATCCCACCGAATGCCCGTGACGCTGCTGCAGCAGCAGCAGCAGCAGGTGGTGCAGCAGCAGCAGCACACTTCATGCAGCAGCAGCAGCAGCGACAGCAGCAACAGGCTCGGCTCGTGCGGCAGACGCAGCGCCAGCAGCAGTCATAGCGATCCCCGGTGAGGAGGCTGCAGCAGCAGCGGAACAGCAGCATCTGCTGCTGCTGCAGCAACGCTGCAAGCAGCAGCAGCGCCTCCTAAAGCAGCGGCAACAGCAGCATGTGCAGCAGCAGCAGCAGCAGATGCAGAAGCAGCGAACCGAGCAGCAGCAAAAAAGCAGATGAGGCAGTAGACACGGCAGCACGCGCAGCAGCAACAGACACACGAGAAGCGGCAAGAGAGGCAGCATATTATTAAACTCAGCAGCAGCAGCAGATGCAGCAGCAGCAGCAGCGGACAGAGAAGCAGCAGCAGCAGCACAAGGAGCAGCAGCACAAGCTGCATCCCTAGAGCAAAGGGGCAGCAGCAGCGGCTCGTTAGCAGCAAGCCAGCAGCAAGGAATGAGGCTGCAGCAAACGCTGAAGCAGGAGCAGCACCAACAGCAGCAGCAGCAGTCTCAATAGCAGCAGCAGCAGCATCGAAGGCAAAGACAAGAGCACGGCTGCCACCAGCTGCAACAAAAGATACGGCAGCAGCTAAGCAAGAGGCAGCAGCAAAAGAGGCGGCGAAAAGGACAGAAGCAGCAGCAGCAACAGCAGAAGCACCAATGGCAGTACGAGCAGCAGAAGCAGCAACAACAACAGCAGCAGCAGCAGCAGCAGCTACTGACTTTCTTGTCCCTACGTGCGACTTCACGAGAATCCCAGTTGGCTCTGCATGAGGCAAAGAAGGAGTTGGCCTGCCCATCTCTCTACTCATTGCTGCTGCTGCTGCTGCCGCTGCTGCTGCTCTTGGAAGTCTGGTGCTGCTGCTGCTGCTGCTGCTGCCACAGGGCTGCTCGTGGCGCCGCTGCCGACTCTTCCGTTGCTGCTGCTGCTTCTGCAGTTATTGCTGCTGCGGCTGCCTCCAGCGGCCTCGCTGTTGCTGCTGCTGCTGCTGCTCCGTGCGCTGCTGCTGCTGGTGCCTTTGCTGATGCTGATGTTGCTGCTGCTGGACTGTAGGAGCTGTGCCAACTTGCAGCGCGTGTAGCTCTTCCACGAAGGTGCGTCGTCCGTGGCTTGCAAACCCTAAACCCTAAACCCTAAACCCTAAACCCTAAACCCTAACGTTTCTGCGCTAGCAGGTGCGTAGCCGGCGCTGTGCAGCAACAGTGCGCTGCTGCGGTGTGTATGCAGGGAAAAGCAGTAAAAACAAGAATAATAAATTTAAATAAGTAAAATAATTAAAATACATACCATTTAAACCCTCTTAATTGAACAAGCTCGCTGCATTTTACCGCTGCACCCGGTGCGCTAGAAGCTGCCTACACAGCAGCAGCTCTTGGGGGCCCCCCGCTGCTGCTGGGGCCCCGGGGGCCCCAGTCTGCGGGTTTTTGAAAATTAATTCGGGCCAAATGTCTTTAATTTTATTTTCTTTTTATTATTTTTTAAAAATAAATACCATTTATGCCGCTTTATCCCAGCAGGTAGACAGCAATTGCTGCTGCTGCAACTCCGCCGCTCAGCCCCCTCCCCATGCCTGCAAACGAACCCAAAGAAAGGACCCAGACAGCACCAGGGGCCCCTCAAGGGGGCCCCCCTAGAGAGGGGCCCCCTGTGGGGGGCCCCCCTGAAGAGGGGGCCCCTCAAGCGGGGCCCCCTGGAGGGGGGACCCCTCAAGAGGGGCCCCCTCTAGAGGGGTCCCCTGAAGAGGGGGCCTCTGCGGTACTGGGGACCCTTACAGAGGGGGCCCCCCACGAGGGGGCCCCTCAAGGGGAGGGGGCCCCTGCAGCAGCAGGAGCCCCTCAAGAGGGGGCCCCTCAAGGGGAGGGGGCCCCCGCAGCAGCAGGGTACCCCATTGCACCAGGGGCCCCTACAGACGGGGCCTCTATAGAAAACGGCCCCGCAGGGGGGGCCCCCATGGAGGGGGCCCCCATTAGGGGAGCCCCCAATGAGGGGGCCCCCATAGGGGGGCCCCTCATAAGGGGGGCCCCCGTAGTAGGGGATCATTTGAATGGGGGCCCCTCTAAGGAGGGGCCCCCTGTAGGGGTACTTTGGAATGGAAAGGAGGAGAAAAAGGAAAAGGAGAAAAAAGGCAAACATACTTCTGCTGCAGAAGCATTGGAGCTTGAAGAAGCTGCTGCTGCAGCACCAACTGACCCTGCTGCTGCTGCTGCAGCTCCTGCTGCTGCTTCGGCTGCTGCTGCAGC